TAATCACCCTGGTGAGCTACAAATTACAAATATGAATGGGAATATACTTCAGAGATATTTTACTCATAAGAATTTCTAAGGGTACCATTAATTGTGGCCAACATGTATTAGAGAAAAACATTTATTTCATAATGAGATTCCCCCCATATTAAATTCTTATTTTTTAATGAAAGGTTTCGATTTGAATGCAGATTTATTTTCACAGCCTTTTTTGATCATATTTACCAAGGGTACCAACAATTCTGACCACGACTGTCTGTATATATATATATATATGTATGTCTGGCGAGTAAACAAAAAAAAATTACTAGCCAATGGCGATTCAATGGCCAAGGTGTCCGTAGAGGGTTGCATTAGTAAAGAAAGTTAATATATAAATATTATGAATTATGAAAAAAATTATTTGCATGTCAGAATTGCGACATGCAAACTTAGAATCATAAGATATAAACTCAGAATTGCGATAAAGTCGGAATTCTGAGTTTATATCTTACGATTCTAAGTTCTCGCAATTCTGACTTTTTTCCACAATTCAGAAAAAAAGCTCTGAAATAAAACGTTTATTTGTATTTTTTTTATTCTGTGACAGAAACAAGCATCCATAGTTTTTAACTGGTGGTTTGGGGCCCAAAAATGGGTCCCAGCTCTGTTATGATAGGGTCAAAGACGGCAGGGAAGAAACTGCTAAATTTCAAATCATAAAACGCAACTAACCATATAATAATGCAGTTAAGATTCCAGAATATCTACATTTCAATACAGAGAAAATAAATGTTGTCTTGACTCCCTAATCCCGACTGTTGAAAAGAGACAAAGCTAACACAAAACGCTCGAGCAGCTTCTTTGATGGTTTCACTCTCAATACAGTCAAAGGACTGGAGATATAGGATGAAAGGGGACGATGCTAGGATGTCTCTGGTCTAGATCAGCAGAAATCTTTCCCAAACCCCGTTTTAAACCTAGAAATGCTGCTTTTACAAGATCAGCATCTCCATATGGTTTTCAGATGGGATTTTCCTCATGCTGGTGATGAAAACATAACCAGACAGTTGAGACGGATCATACATGATACAACAACGGCTCTCCGTCCTCACTCCATCAATCCAGCCCGACAGCTTTCACCATGTGGTTTGGAACTGAAAGCCTTGTTGTATTATTAGTAAACACACACTGACACTTCTTTACCAAGGAAAGGTGTAACACGTGTTATGTGCTAAATAAAACGGTTTAGCACAAAAAAAGATGATCTTCATAATCAAACTTGCTTTTATGATGTAATTGTACTGATTATTTTTCACTTAATATAATTTTCCTAGCAAAATTAAATAATCACAAATGTGCAATTATTATAATAAACATTAATAAACTACAATAACGTATTAAATGTGCATTTATAATAATAATAATAAATTAAAATGACGTCTTTATTATTAATGTTGCTATTGCTATAAATGTACGTCTATTATAAATATTAATATTTATAAATGTACATTCTTAACAATAAAATAAGTTACAATAACAGGTAACTAACATAACTTGTCTGGTTTTACTTAATAAAATTATTACTATTATTATTGTACATTAATTTATAATAACAACAACAACAATAATAAATAATTAAATATATAATATAAAAATAAACAATTATAATTAATAATAATAATATATAATAAATTAAAAACGCTTCATATATTATTATTATACATGTATGTCTTTATTAATTTACTATTGTAAATGTACATAACAAAATAATAAATTACAATAACGTCTTATTAAATGTACATTTATAATATTATTATAATATTATAATAAATTACAATCACGTCTATTATGTTTAATGTTGCTATTGCTATAAATGTACATGTCTATTATAAATATTAATATTTATAAATGTACATTTTTAACGATAAAATAAGTTATAATAACAGGTAACTATAGCATAACTTGCCTGGTTTTACTTAATAAAATTATTACTATTATTATTGTACATTTATAATAATAGTAATAATAATAATAACAACAACAATAATAAATAATTAAATGTATAATATAAAAATAAACAATTATAATTAATAATACATATAATTTAATAATAATAATAATGTATAATAAATTAAAAACGCTTCATATATTATTATTATACATGTACGTCTTTATTATTTTTACTATTGTAAATGTACATTTATAATAAATTACAATCATGTCTATTATGTTTAGTGTTGTTATTATTGCTATAAGCGTACATTTAATTATAAAAATGTTAATATTAAGAAAAAACAGACAGTAAAGTAACAAAGTAAAATGCTGCCCCACCCACCTTCCAGATCGACAATCCGCACGCTAGCACTTCCGCTTTCGTAATCCAGCACGTCACACTTCCGCTTTCAATTTTCCCCAGCTTTTCCCATGCCCGCTCGCTAGCATTAGCCGGTTAGCCAAAGACGACAATTTAACTCCACTTCGATTCACAGCTCATTAAAAACGCGATCAAAACGGCGAATCATCATCCTTATTACTGTAATAACCCGTTAAATGAATGTAAAATAGATTTTTAAGACGCGCCAGAGAGTCTTCAGTTGATCTGTCACGTCTGGGTTGGACAGGAAGCTCACTCATCCCTGCTGCTCGCGCTTAAATACGCCATGGAGTCCACAGTGCGCAGGCGCGGAAAGTGGGTGGAGCCTGAAGAAAGGCTCCACCCTTTTTATATATTTTGAAAGATATATTTTGTTTGGCAATATATCTTTTGAGTTTGTCCCCTTATAAACTAATCAGTTAAGTATTAATGGTGTGAAAATTAACGTTTATATAAAAAAATTATGTAGAACCACATTATTGCCTAAATGCAACCCTTTTTGGAATTCGTTATATGATCAGATTGAATGGAAAGAGGTCTGGAATTGACCCAGTAAATACTGTCTCACCAATAAAATTAAAGATGTTACATATAAAGTTATATAACATATAAACACTTATTTTATGATTGGGTATTCACCCAAATGTTTTGGATTGATATTGAATATCTAATATTTAAATGTATAAAATTAAAGACTGGATTCTCTGGTAAAGATATCTTTTTTGTTACATAAAAATAAGAGTTTGGAGCAAAATTTGGTGATTATTTTAATAATTATGCATGGGAAATGCCATATACACAAACAAAAATGGACTAATAATAAACCTAACATTACATGAGAACGTAAGTATTACATTGAAGCTAAGAAATAAAAAAGCAAAAAGGATGTATAGAATTTTTAAATCATTTTCTTATGAAAATTTCTGGTAAGTTATCCCCTATGATGCTATTATGAATGCAATTGATAATAGTTGAAAACACTGTGATCCTCTACTGTTCTTGTTATGCACAAAA